GCAGATCGAGTCCACAACCTGGACATGTGCCCTTGACCCAAATCATTCAGTCCGCAGGCCAACGCTCTATCTGTTGAGCCAAACCACTAGGGCATGACTCTTATTTCTTAATGATTTAATTAAATATTAGTATTCAGCTGTGATGACATGTTGACATTGAGTTTTTTTATATACCTACAGGTGCTGATGTTATAAAAAATGATGGAATTTACTCGAGGTATTTTTTCTCCTTTGCTGTAAATGGTAGATATAGCTTGAAAGTGCATGTCAATCACTCTCCCAGCATAAGCGCCCTAGGCCTCCACTCTTTTCCAGGGAGTCATGCTATGTATGTACCAGGTTACATAACCAATGGTAAGAATCATTAGCACTGCTATTTGAGTAACATCATGTAATATGCATATAACTGATAAGTGAGTGTGTGTGTATGTGTGTGTGTGTGTGTGTGTTTGAGAGAGGAGGGGGAAAAAGTGAAAGAAAAAGAGAGATGGAATTTCAAAACTTTATACTTAAGTCAGTGCATAAGTTGTTGACTATCTCTTTACTCTTCAAAGATTCATGGTAGTAGATTACAGGAAGGGAATAGGTAATTACCACAGATGTCTCCTACCTCCATTTTAATCATTATTTTGAGCTCCTTCTTGTGACTGTTTTGTCAGAATTACTAACAGATAAAGAGATTTATTGAGTTTTCTCAGTTCCAGCTCCTGCATTTCCTCTACAGCAGTTTAGGCAAGAGAAAGAGGCACTTAGTAGTTAGCAGTTAGAAGAGGGAAGCAAATAACCCAAACAATCCACACAGGAAATGAGTTCCTGAAAAAACAAGAGTTTGGATATTACAAATAACTGAGTGCTTCCTGAAGATGCTACGTCTTCCTTCAAGATAAAAGGGCCAAATAAATAGAAGATCCACATCTTTTCAACACCATTATTATAGTTCCTGATAGAAAATAATGAATAAAGTATAACAAACAGAAATATACTACATTATTTTATAAAATAAAATCTCAGAAACATTTCTAAGTGCTTTTATTTTCAAAACTGCAGAATGTTTACGAATACTTTTCATGTATTTTATCAGCTATAATGAATTATTTTGTATCTAAATATAATACTTCATTTCTAAATAGATATTCCCTCTTTCATTTATAAATCAAAGATTTTTGAAGGCCTACCAGGTGACAGGCTTAGTCCTAGGATCTTGGGATACCAGGTAGAATAAGACTTGATTCCACTCAAGGAGTTTACAGGTTACTGACTGGTCTGAGAATCTTTTTAAAACTCATACTCTTACAGGATAAAAATATCATCATCTCGCGTACTGTGAGATTAGAAAAGTAATATTCAACTG